CGGATAAGCTCGTCGGCGCCGACGACGTCGTCCGGTGAAGTGACAAACGCTAATAGGATCAGATAACAGAGGGTGACTCCAAAGACGAGTTGAAAAAGAGGTTGGCGGGTGGGAGGGAGGGGGGGAGAGATGGATCGTGCAAACAGAGAAAGAATCATCAGAGAGCGAGAGCGAGCGAAAGGTACAAAAAGAGGAGGATAATTGCGCGACATATCCATCAGACTCATCGTAATAATACGTATATGGAGCACTACCTTTTGGTCTCCCACGTATAGCAGACTCCTCGACCACACTCGCGCATCTCTTGAAAAACTAAATGTACATTCACGTACTCGAGTTTAGGTCCCTCTCGTGTAATGCACCTGTATTTTATATGCATATATATACACGTAATCCGAGTTGACGAAGGAAACGGCTTCATCTCTTTCCCTGTCGCTGCTCGGTATACACACGCTGCAACAGGACGCACGTATAGCTGGGTAGGAGATTGTGTTTATCGCCGGGGCGGCAAAAAGACAGCCCGAGACAGGGTGGATGAGCGGTCGTAAGAAAGACATTCTCTATGCCTTTTTTTTTTTTATTTGGCGCTGCTACGTTGCGTCGTGCTTGCAATCCACACGATTTTGTAAGAAAAGCATAAATACCGAGTCGAACGAAATTCGTTGGAAGAACTTACGACTTGATAAAAATCAAATTATTTTGTCACTAGTACAACTTGGGACACAAAGGGCTTACTCACGAGAGGTAGATATTCCCGCAAGTCATATATCTGTATATATAGATATGCACAAACCGTTATCGGTGTATACGTTATTTTCGAACTTACACCTTTCGCAATTTCAGTCGTTAAAGACGAATTTATGAATCACTTTGAAAAATGATACTGTCTGCCTCGGATGGGTTCGAAGAAGGAAAAATATTAAAAATATTAAAAATACTATGAAATCCCCGAGGAGTTTTGCCTCGAGCTCCAAGTGCGCGTACTTATGTTATGACGTGGTACGTATATACGCTCTCCGCGTGAGGTAAAGTCGTCAAGGTCGATCGTCGGAAAGCAGCCGGCTCAAAAGGATCTACGGGACAGTTGTCGGACGCGATATATCCATGGCTTACGCAGTGAAATCGGCTGGTATTGATTCTTTTGCCAACTCGTGGCAAACTTGACTCTTTTTTTCTTTCCGACCCTTCGCCTCCTTCTTCCACTGAACCAGGGAAAAGGAAAGGTCATACTGTGGAAAATTGTGCAACCTCTCGATGCGAATCGCGCAATTTACAACAAATATATATATATATATATATATATGTATGACCAGGTAGACATGGAAAATAATCCATAGATTATTGTTATCAGTCGTAGATGGTTGGTGCTCGGTGATTGGGAGAATTTTGTGGGCCCGACACGCCGCAAGTGCAACCTTACCGCGCTTTCTTGGGCTCAAACGTACACCTACTTACGTTAACTCTCCGTCTCTTCTCTACGGGGAGAACCACGTATACAAGCGGTTACCAGCCGTCCCGTCGTTGGCACACTGCCACGTCGAATTCAGCCTCCCAACGATTCTCTCCCTCGCGATCTCGCCTTTCTTTTGTATACCTGTATACGGCAGGCCCCAGTGGCGCTCGTCGGATTGGATGTTACGTTGCCGAGACGCGAAGTGCGCCATTAGCGAGCAATAAATTTATGGTTTCAATTGAAAAGATAAAGGCAACGTTCAGTGGCATCTCTTTCGTGCACTCGAAATTAACGTAACTCGTATATATCTATCATGCATACTTGTATTGCCAACTGGATTGTCCCGTGTAAAATGGTCGCAATACTGAAATGTCTCTTCATACAAATTGTTTCATTTGTGACCAATGAAGCTTCTCATGATTCCTCGTACAATAAAATATTGCAATGGAGAATAGAGTGTTCATGAGATTATTTTTATTCGATACATAAAAAAAAAAAAAAAAAAAAAAATATGTCAAAACGGGCGATTGCTGAATATTTCGTAAAAAGTGCTTATTTTTTCATTCACCCACGAGTATAATATTGTGAGGTCGCCAACTTTTGATGACGGATTGTAAAAGGAATCGTTAATGAGTGCAATCATGATGTAATGCCTATGCGTGTGAGGTATTAAATTTGGATCCCATCCAATAGAAAACTGTCCTCGGCTAAATGTATAGAATACAGAGAAAAGAGTTGAAAGTAGACCTTAAAGAACAAAGAATGCAAAAACTCGAAAAAAAAAAAAAAAAAAAAAACGGCAACTCTGAGGCTATTTCAATTTCAATAGACAATAAAACGAAGCTGCTTAGTTTGCCTTCCGAGCGAGGCCGCAAACGTCCGTCGAGGGGCGCACTATACAGCGACGAGGGCGCATCGAAACTTGGAAACAGTCTCTCGCTAAACTTGCCCCCACCCCGTCCGCCTCTTCTTCCTTTTTCCATTTTACTTTATCTCACTTTCCCCCTGCCGTTTTTTTTTTTTTTTTTCCTCTATCTATTCATCCATTCCCTGCATGTTTCTCTCGTTCTTTACACCCCACGAGGAATTGCACGGCATAGGTGGAGCAGAAAAAGGAGATACCGAGAAAATAACATGCAGAGCAGTAGCCTCGCTCGATCTCGTAAAAGTTGAGCTGTGCTATTAGATTAGGTGAACGAGCCATGTATCCCACCCTGGGCCCAAGTTTACGTTTACGTGTTCCTGTATGCAAATAGTATACAATATCCACCGGCCTCGACTGGATGCAGAGAAGAGAGTGACCAATAGACCTTGCAAGTCGAGGGGTGCACCATAGATGGATAGAGGAAGCTTAATTTTTTTTTTTTTACAATCTCATAAACCTTAAGTCATTTTTAAGTAAATTTATACTATTCCTGATGTATCGGATTTCATTCGATGGTCGATACAGATTTATTATCTACGTATTTTATCAGAGTTTGAATCGTCCATAACTTCTCCTCATTAACTTCTACTCGTTACTCATCAACTTACTTCAATTACGTACTACTTATATAAATATATAATATCAAGTTCTAGCTCCTTTTGAGCGTTTTCAATCGCTTGCCGAGCTAATTAATTGCTGAATTTCGTCTTGAACTGAGTTAAAATCTCAAGACTCGTAACATTGTGACTTTTGGAGACACCATTTTTTGTACATCTCTTTGCTAGAAAAAAAGCTGAATTTAGGTATAAACTAGATCGATCGTTTACCGCGTCGTATGAATATTTTTCAAGAGTGGTTTTTCGAAGACTTGGGCATCTACCTGGGTGTACATGTACAAAGTAGTAGGTATCTACCTATTTCATTCCACTCTCGCCTCGCCCCGTCGCTGATGTTGCTACTACTATCCTACCATTCCCATATAGGTAGAGCGACGTGCTCCGCTGCCGCAGCTGCACACAGGGTGCAGTGCTGCAGGGACACGACGGCCGACCCCACTCCGAGCGGAAAACGCCACGCGACCCGAAGCCCCCACCAGGCACTGCCGAGTGCGTGGTGGCGCGTGGTGCTGGACTTTGGTGGGGGCCGGGGACGCGTGCGGCTGCAGCATCAGCAAAGGGCAGAGAGTGCGGCTCCTTCCTGGAGTGGGGGAACCGTGGGGGGGGGGCTATACTCGCAGCGGCGGCGGCGGTGGCGGCGGCTACGGAGGCCGCCCGAGTGGGGGCGTCTCGGGGGAAGAACGACCGCGCGGCCTCGACAGTTCGGAAAGAGCAGCGCTCTGGTCACGATCGTTTTTCTTCACGGTTACCCCACACATGGTTATACACAATCACTGCACTGCTCCCGGAGTAACCATTAAATACGTATACGATCCTTTTTTTTTTTTTCGTGTCGTCGGCGTCGCTGCACGCATGTGTACCCGAAAAAAAAGGAGTGTGAGTCGAATCAGTGCTTGTTCGTGTGTTGTTGTTGCCGTTAATGATCCAAGTGGGGCGAGTGTGGACTGTGTTTGGAGATAATCCGTGAACTATGCAGGTGCTCCGATATGCTCGTGAGGGCCACTGACCAGCCGGCGACTGGCGTCCGACCGATGCTGACTGGTTCTACTGGCACCAGAATCTTGCGGAAAACTCGTTGTACCGATGGGCATGATACCGTGCACCAGCATCAGCGGAGCACGTACCAGCGCGGCGCTGGCTAGCAGCCGCTCCTGACCTCTGGTCTGGCCTGCGTCGTGCAAGCAGTGTGTAGCCACCGCTGTCCGAGCAGACGGGGCGCCCTTAGGTCCGGGGACAGGTGGAGAGAGAGCGATCGATACGCGTTAACAGCTGACTCGTTGTGTACCGCTGTCGTCGCTGGTTGTGTGTTTTTTTTCTTTTCTTTTGTTTTTCTTCGTTTTGCTTTTGATACATTTCTCGTTACCGTTACTACTGACGCTTGGTGATGGTGAAATGCTACGTCGTGCCAGTGCCGATGACGATGGTTGCCCCAGAATGCCCGTTGTCTCCCTTTGGTTGTTCATCAGTTGCGAGACGAGGTTGCGTTCGAGCATATCGTGTCCCTGCGGAGAGAGCTTTCCACACTCTGCTGTCTCGTTTCCTGTCGGACGGGCTATAACGTTTACTTGCTCACACGAGGACACACGTACGGATTATGTCAGTAGTATATGAAACGGAGCATGCCAAAGCTGCTGGACCCGCGGACGTCTGTATACGTGGAGAGAACTGGACATGCAGCCGCGACTTTGGGAGCTTAATACTGTCATCGAGAGGCGGCTAAGCAGTGCAGTGCATAGAAACTTCAATATAGTGCATGTACACACGAGTGCAAGTGCAGGGCCCAAGTGCGCTGACTTCTCGCCGTGAATCTATAAATCCCGTCGCTCTTCCCGTTTAACGTTGTAAACGAGCTTGGAGCTGTCGTTAATGCTGTTGCTGTTATTGTTGATGTAGTTGTTATTGTTATTTGCTGCAGTTGTTGTTGTGGGAGTGAGCGACAGATCAAAAGTGAGTGGCAGGTGTGTAATCAGTGGTTGAAGCACCTTCTGCCAATCGCTGGCTAATCATGAGCACAAAGAGCAAGATGCGGCTGTGCCAATCCAGGCTCCTAAACAGGTAGGTGTTGGGGACAATTTTACATTACATCATTTTTATACGAGTGTGCGATACAATCACCCAATCATATTGCGGGCGAATAGTTTTTTTTTGCTCATGCCTTCAAAATGACGTTTTTAGCAATTATTGGAAATGTCCAAAATCATTTTCATTGTTTTCCTTTCTTTGCTCCGTCGCTCTTTATTTGAACAACAATAATGAAGCTCATACATATTACCAAAAGTGAATTATTATTACATATCATTTTGGTGCTCGTGTGTGTGAGTATATCGTAAGTTTACATCGTGATTTACACACTGCAACAAAATGTAACATTGAATATGCAAATGGCAATGGCTCCACGAATTTCAATTCAATTTTTGTAATCGATTTCAGAATAAATAGCTGTACCTCTACCGATTGAATTAAATTCTCGTCAAAGTGAGGTTTCGGGTTTATGACATTAGTTTTTAATTTTTCGTTTATTTTTTAATTTTTAAACTAAAAATTAATTTTAACATACTCAAGATTGTAATCCGAGCTATGTTAAAATAAAATGAAATTAAAGTTTAAAATTTCACCAGAAGTTCTGCGTAAATAATAAATGACTTTGTCATGGAGGTACTAATTTTCAAAATACCTATAATTTTCTACAGTCAGTTTATTATTTATTCATTCAAGATTTGTAAATCACTCGGACAAGTAATGTAATATGCACTAGGATTTTCACAAAAATACAGCATATTTAAACCATTTCTTAAAATATAGTGTGTTCGTCACAAATGTAATGAGTATGAAAATAATTACATGTTCTTCGGGATTAAAACAACAATACCTGATTATACTCACATTTCTACTACTGTATTTCGAAACCAAGAAAATTCGATAGTACAGTATACGAGAGTCACCAAACGAGATTGTATGAAAACAACCGCGTGATGGCGGAAAATAATATCCGCGAGAGATACTTGAGAATGTCTGCCTTGGTAAAGTGGAGTTTTTAAGATATGTATATAATATAGGGGTTATTAGACTATCGATTTCCCTATTATATAGTATCCCGACAGTCAGCAAGGTGCTCAGTGTCGGTGGTAAAAGTAACAGCGGCGGGGGGGGGGAGAAGAGAATGGGTAAAATGAAACGGGAGGTAAAAAGAGGAGCGTAACCCGTGGGATTATTGTTGGAAAGCGTGAAAGTTTTCTCTGGAAACGGACATGCTTAATCAAGCTTCAATAATGGCCGGCACGTTTTATTTATTCTCCACCACTCGGCCGTGCCGCGTCCATCCGCTTGCAAGCACCGCAAAAGCCCCTTTCATTATATAATCCTCGTGCTCGAAAACAATCGCCATTCAAGTTAAATAAAGATGTCCCTCCCGGCCGCGTCTTTATTCGTTTTTTCCGCTTCCTCCGTGGCTCCAACACCTCTATCTTCGTCATTGTCTTTATATTCGCTCGGCGCTCCCCCTTTCGCCAAACAACGCTCGGGTAACCCTCGACCACTGCCTTGTCGTATATGTCGAGCTTGCAACATATACCTACGCTCTGTCTCACAAAGTACAACCTGCACAACTTTCATTTCGATCACTGTCGTTGATTCTCAAAAACTACGATATGTGTATAATGCCATGAAGTATTTAGTTCAGAGGGTGCAAGGTAAAGGCAGACAACAATATTGGTGGGTCTGATGAACAGTATACTTTTTAAATGTAGCGCGCGATAATTTGGTCTGTCCCACGTTCATTTCAAATCAATGCATATATACACATTACACAATAACAATATTTTGAGGCGTTACTTGCACTGCACTGGGCACGAACAGCGTGACTTGAATAATTTTAGTACCCTGCTTTCAAGCATTTCAAAAAAGAGCAAGAGAGGCAGGGGGAATGTTGTAAATAAAAATTTCGATTCAAACTTTGAGCAACAGTGAAACCAATAGAATATTATGCAAAGCCATGAAAAGAGCGTCGTTGCATTGAACTTGACGTACCACTGCACTCGACCCTGTAACTCCTGAATCTTTGAGTTTTATTCAAGTTTTTTCTGACGCCCCATGGAAGGAGAACGGAAAAGTTCAATTTCAACTTTGCCATTGACGTTATTTATGCTTACGAGCCAAGACCATATTAATACCTTACATTAGAGAAGCATTTAAACGATACATCTACAAATATATTCACGAAGCTTTAAAATAATACTTGAATCCGCAAACTCTTTTATTTTATTTTATTTTTTTCGTACTACCCATTTTACTCAACTAATAATGAAACTCGAAAAACTGGTTGAAAAAGCCATAAAATTTATGCTTCGTTAAAAAGTAAATGTTATCCCATCGTTTGAAAATTCGTATTTTCAATTTCGTTCACTTTATTCAATTGTAATATTAATAGGTATACTCGTTGCGATGCATGAACCATATGAGGGTGAACACTGAAACGTGCAAAAAAAGATAATACAAAAAATTGTTAAATTTCCAAGCGCAACGCAGTGTGAAAATTAAGCACGGAAAACATTATCTCGAAAGATTTATGGTGTACAGGTAATACATATATACCTATACGTCATACCTATAACGATCGTCATTCCCCGGGAGAGTCTCGATATTCTTATTTAAAATTCCCATAAATCCGACTAATCGTGCGAGAATCAATGATTAACGTGGCGCGCACGTCGCGACGCTTGGAATATCAATGGCCACGTTCAAGTGATGCCCCTGCAAAATAGACGTTGATCCCCCGCAAGTTCAGTTGCGCGAGAAAATTCGATATTCTTCATTTTACTCTCATCTAATGAAATTAAAAAAAAAAAAATTGTTTCTTCACGGGCAGTGGTTCATCGGCAGTGACAACCTACGATCGGTTCATCGGAAGCCACGGAAAGCATAGTGAATAATTGAAAAAAATTGTTTGAACAGCTCAACCGACGTAAAACAAAGTGTTTACCAGTTCCTGTGATTTTCCATCCAGTTAATAAAACCTACCAAGTGGGTGTTATATGTATATATTGATAATTATCATCTCCCTGACCCGACAACCTAATAACGTGTTACTTTTTGTTAGATGTGCTCCTGGAAAGAACAGAAAAACTTTGCTCCCTTGGACTCAGCGAGTGCGAGTACGAGGTATATTTTCGTAAACTTTGGAATGTAGGAGAGGAGGGAGGAGGGTCTCCGAAAGAGCTGGCTCGGTCGGCTAGTTAGCTGATGATCAACGCAACGTAAAGCGTCCAAGGAGGATATTGAGGGGGGGGGGGGGCACACGGATGGAAAGATAAAGTGCGAGCGCTTGTTCAAACACGGAGAAATTTGTCCGCGGCTGCGCACTCTGTTTGCACAGCGTCGATATTTTCTCATCGCGTATTCTGTTAATTTGAATTTGTAACGAACTGCAAAACTTTGCATGTAAAACATCCGCGCGCTCGGGCTCGCCCGTCTTCTGCAGTCGACGAAAGGTGGGTGCTCCTACACACTATAATACATATATAAGGTGGTGCGACGATCCGTGTATATACATTGTATATCTACGTACCTGCCAACTCACGCGTGTATTTAGCTGATGGCTCTCGGGAAAAAGAGTGCCTACCCATACACGTGCGCTGCAGCGTTGGTATGAGGACGCGGGGGGTTGGTGGGGGCGAAAATGGACTCTGGCCGGATAAATATTTAAGCGGGGCGGACGAGACGCTCGGACAGAGGGTGAATAAAGGACGGTGGCTTCGATCGGCTCGGCCTATAGGGACATCCATTAAAAATCATTCGTCGCCTTTTTACTCGTCCGCCCCTCCCTCCCTCGCTCACACCGCCACCACCGTCGCCCATCGTCCTCGTAGTCGTGGCTGCTGGTTAATATTTAAATAGCGTCCGGGTGATGTAACCCCGACGTAGCTCCTCCGGCCTTTGTGGGCTCGCGCGTGCACGCAAAACCTTTTTCGAAATGTAAGCCCTTTGACCCGAGCAATGGATAATCTCGCATCCCAGCACATCGGCAGTTAAGTTTTTATTCCTCTTAGCGGTTCCCGTTTTCTCCCCCCCCCCCCCCGAGTCCCTCTGTTCTCTTCGATCAGGTGCCCGCAAGCTAAATCCCCCGTGACTAATATAAAAAATGTATTGGATTTTGTTTTGGCTCGTCAGACGTGAGTACCAACAACAGCAGTGTCGCGGCTATAAAATATGTACGTATACACAACGAGGGTGATGAAACGAGAGGATCGATTGGAGCAAAAATCTAACGGTGCGTGAAGAAGGAATCTCGAGAGAACGTGCCTCTGTCGGGGTCGTCTTATGCGCGTATATAAGACTGGCGAGCAAAGGATTATCATCGACTGACTGATCGCTTCCTACACCAATGTATGAATCGATGGCGCATCGGAGTGGAAAGTGCGACAAACTTGGGGTACTTTGCCGACTCTTGTGTAGGAATCAGGTATACTATACCAATGACACTTGATGCGGACCTCGTCAAGTTTCAAGAGTAAGAATTTGACGTGGTGCGACACCCCGTACCACCTTTATTTGAATATTAATGGAGCACACAAAGAAGCATCCAAAGAAGAAAATAAATGTTAAACTTATTGTATACGAGATGTTTGACGTACATACCTCACAATGAATTACTTTCCACTGGAAGTTGTGTTGTTTTTTTTTGTTTTCTTATTCAGAAAATAATATATTGCGTTTTCTAGTTATAAAGTTAAAAAAGATATTACGCGGAGATTGAAAAAATATCTGTATCGTGTAAATATGAACGGAGAAAATGGTATTGCACAAGATAGGTATGGAGAGAGAGAGAGAGGTACCATTGGAAAAATGTTTAATCTTTTGAGCTCGCGCAGCAGGGGTAATGCAATCTCACTACACTAGGGAGCGAAAAGGGGTAAAAAAAAAAGAAAAAAAAAAGAAAAAAAAGGGGGGTGGATGGGAAAGAGAGACACTTACCGACCACGCATTATCTCTAGAATTGCATGCAGGGTAAGGGGTACGTATGAAGTAACGACTGGCTGGCTGTGTATGGGGAAGCGAAA